ACTGGACATGACTGGGTCAAGGGTCATAAAGTTGCTGTCATGGAGTCAAGTGATTGGGTCACATGGATCCCTGGGGTGGGTTGACCAGGAGTGGTATGATTAGCTTTTCCAGGCCTTGGTTTCCTAATCAGTCATGGAGACCAGGGTTGAGACAGTACCTATCTGTGACATCTCCATCCCTCACATTCTCAACTTCTGCCCACCAGTGCATGGACTCCATAGCAAACACGTGTAATATGGAGAGTTTGAGATGAAAGGATGTTTTTGCCAAGGGCTATAGAGGTGAAAGGCCTTGAGCTGGGAACTGGGGTGTGGCTTAGCAATAGAACAATTGCTGAACATGTATGAGGCCTTGGGTTCCATTGCAAGCAAACACACACACACACACACACACACACACACACACACACACACACACACACTCTCACACTTGTCCACAACTCTAAGCCTTCTGTTTCCTCATCTGTTAAACTGAAATGAGAACCCAGCCAATTGCAGGGCTCCTGTGAGTTAGGGGCAGTGACATGTAGGAAGCACCAGCCAATTGCAGGGCTCCTGTGAGTTAGGGGCCATGACAGGTAGGAAGCACCAGCCAATTGCGGGGCTCCTGTGAGTTAGGGGCCGTGACAGGTAGGAAGCACCTTTGGACTTCAAAGGGGCAAACTGTTATGTTTGTCATTGCCATGCTGACTTACAACTTTGCAAAGAATTAGAACATAGCAGCACACTCTTCAGCACTAATCTGCCTTCCATGACTCAGAAGAGCCTTCGAGAAGTTACAAAGGTCATGATCTCAAATGTAGAGCAGTTTTGTAGGAAAACAAACATCCTGGCTGGCTGAGTTGCTTTGTGTTTAAGGTTCCAATTCAGTAGGTACACACTGGCTGTATTAAACCCTTCAGGAACTTGTTGGTCACATACATACCCTAAGCCCCATATTTTTACAGATGAAGCCATTGAGCCACAGAGAAATGAGGCAAGCGCACTTCCTAGAATCGCATGCTCATTAGCAGCAGATGTGGGAGTGGAATCCCAGCTCCTGATTCCCAGTCAGCTTTCCATCATTTATTTAAGCATAACTCAGAAAGTTGAGCATGAGCTGAGGATGTCCTGATGGGTGTGGTGGCCATCTTTGAACATGAAATTGAAGAAATCAATAGTCTGGATGTATCACTGAAGGGTGTGAGCCCATGAACTTGACTGGACCTCCTTAAGAAAGAAGGCCAGTGGGAGTCTTAGTCATTTTCTCATTCATAGCAATTCAGTTCCTCCATACAAAATTCTCACCAAGTGCTCTCTGAAATTAATTGGTGTGGTAAGACTGCTGGTCATGGTTAAATGGCTTTTGTGGCACATTGGTATTAGTATTAGTGTAATGTCTAAGAGGGTGTCTCTCACTAGTCTGTCTGTCTCCCTCTTTCTCTCTCCCTTCCTCCCTCCTTCCTAATCATTAACGGATATATTCTTTCTTTGTTGAGCCAAATTGCCAGAACTGACTATAAAACACATCCTACACATCCCTCCCTTCTCAGGCAGTCTTGGTCCCACCCACCACTGGGAGCTGGGCAAAAAGTCAGGAGCAAGTGTCAATGCTGAGCAGCCTGTGAAAACAGCACTTTCTTCCCAGACACATTGGAAGTGGCATTCCGCCTGCCCCTCCCTCCTCTTCCTAGCCATAAATCTGTCTCCCTGGGATCTGCACATTTTTTTTTTCTATCTTCAATCTGCTGATAACTTGCCTCGGCCAAGGATCTCAGCTTTGGGTGGGAGGGAGTCGATTTCCTCAGTCTTTTGGAAAGCCAGTCCTGGTTCTGAGTGTGGATGGAAAATGCCTGGGTAAGAAAACAGACTCGAATCTGAGTGCTTGGATTCAGACCTCAGCTCCACTTGTTGCTAGAACCATTCAAGCATGGGGTGAATCCCTTAAATGCATAGACCTCCTCCGTGTCTTAGTTTGCACCTCCATCTCAAATGTACAAGCATGCAGTTAAATGGACTGATATTTCTGAAATGCTTTAAACAGTGCTAGGTGCAGAGAAGTGCTTCGTAAACGACTGTTTAGTAAGTTAAATAGTCTTCATCACACCAGAGTTTCCCTCAGGTACCAGCGCTATTCCATTAGACACTTCAGCATACGGGCTTTAGGGCCCTTGAAGGGAGTGGCTTCTTTTTTCTCCATTAAAATTACAAAGCATATGCTATATCCTAGCCTTTTTATACCGCTGAATGAGAAAGGAAATGGCAGAGGGACTTGGCTTGCAACACCGCTGCATGGCGAGCCTGTCTCTGGCTCAGTGAGCTGTCCACCTTCTGCTGACGCTAATGCAAGTGCAGTGGAGCTGATCGATCTCCTGAGCGTCCTCCAGCGGGGTGCTGGCAGCGTCGGGGTCACTGTTGTTTAGCCGCCAAGTGCTCTGTAACCCGCCGTCCAGCTGTGCATGTGCCCAGAGCCTCCGTGTGGGCTCCTGGGGAGGGGGTTTCCACAGCACTGTGGCCTTGGTTGCTTCAAGGCCGAGCTGTGGGAGAGATTAATGGGAAGTGAGAAGAGAAACTGTTATTCTTACCCAGCAGTGCTGTTGGGAGTGTGTGACTCTTCTTGTATTTAGGGAAAAGATTACTCATGAGGATTTTCTTTCATAGAATATAAAGAACCTCAAATTACTGCTTGTGGCCCCCGCCCCCTTCTCACCCACCTCTCTGTTTCAGTTTGTCCTGGGTAGAACTGTCAGCATTTTATTTTCGTTCCCCTCCTATGCAGGCTTTGGTTCTGTATTTACTTTGACATCCCAACAAGCTGCCCCAGACCCATTTCCCTGCATCATCTAAAAAGCCCTCTGGCCACTAGGTGCTTTCCTGTGACCAGCCTGATGGGAACCTCCACCCATCCCCTGATGGCATTACCCTCCTCCCACTTACCAGTAACATCTGAAGTCACAAATTGGCATGCTGTTCTTGTTCCAAGTAGGCACTGTTGACAGTAGGAGGTGAAGTTGAAGGTTTTCCCAGGATAGCCTGGCTAACATTCGCACTCTACTAGGAAGAGGTGGACACTTGGATATCCATAAACCATTTTCAATAGGCATTGCTTTCTGGCCAGTCAAGAGCCAAACAACAAAACCTCAGATCCTTTAGTGGCTCTGTTTCCTTCTAAAAGTCATAAAGCAGTCACATATTACAGTAGCTACCTCATAATGCTACTCGTTTCATCCATGTGAAAAACATTGCCATAAAATTTAAAAGCCAAGAAAACACACTCAGAGTCTTGGGGTTTTGGGTTGGATTGGTGGTTTTGATTTTAGGGTAGTAGGGATTGAACTTTGGGCCTCATGCATGCTACCAGTGAACAATAACCCCAGCCCTCTTTTGACTTGAGACGAGGTCTCACTGAGTTGCCAGGTTGGTCTTGAACTCACTCTGTAGCCCAGGCAGCCATGCATAGCCTTCCGTTGCTTTCCAAGTAGCTGTGTTACCAGGCCTAGCCAACTGACTGGTTATAAGGAGTCTTCCGGGGACTTAGAAGAAACTGACGTCTATTCTTCAAAAGCATCTACTTCAGAGGAGCCTCTTAGAAGGCAGAGCCAGCAATCACAGTCAGAGCCTGGAATGTTCTCCCTGGCATCTGAGCCCTGTGTTCCCCTCTCTCAGCAGTACTTCATCATGCCCAGGGTAGGGCGAAAACTGGTTCGTTGTAGGATTGAGCTGAAGGTCACGTTTTTGAGACACACACCACATCTCTGCACAAACGCTGGTCCCTCTGAGCTCTCTTTGACTCTTGATTCTGAGACTTCGGAGGGTGAAGCCCTGCAGACCTTGTGCTGTCAGGATTCAAGTTGTGAATAATTATCAAAGACTGTTCTCCTCAACTCTCCACTCCCCCAACCCCCCCAACCCTCCCCCCCAACCCCCGCACAAGAGCCTTTGTTCATAGGACTTATAGCAACCCTTACCACATTGTAAACTACTTTCTAAAGTATTCACTAACTTATTGACCAACAAACTAGGCATATATCAATATATATTTAAAGTATATTTTCAAAAGATGTGTGTAAACAACAGTAGTGTTATATGCTTTTACAAACTTCTCCAGTGTCTAGGTTAATAGAAGATACCTGGATTCACATCTCTGTATTCAACCTGTTGTGACGGTAGCAGGTCATGTAGCTCCTAGAACATTCCATATGTGCTCATGAGAGAATAATGTTAATATTGTTCTGAAAAGAGTTTTTGCTGTATAGACACTGTGCAAGGGTCTTGGGAACCCTCTGGGTTCCCAAGGATCCCACTTTGAGAACTATTGTTCTAATCACTTGAAGGATGTATCAGAGTTTCCCATAGCAGCAAAGAGAAATAAAACTACAGACTCTCTGCCTCCCAGAGATACAACCTGAACCACCCTGTCGGTGACATCTGACCCACTTCCAGTCCATCAGCAAGACAAATAATAAAGCAAAGGACCTTCTGTGTTACTCTGGCTGTGCATTTGCCAGAGGCTAGCCTCGCTCTTCCCAGAGGCTGAGTAAATGACTCTTCCTGGAAAAAGTTTCAGGGGATGCTTCATTATTTGGCAGCTCTGTGGGGGGGGGGGGGGTCAAGACCAGCCCTGGAACACTCCCATTTCAAAGGACTCTGGGCTACAATCACATGAGCTCTGAGTCTAAGGTCTCCTGCTAAACACACTGAGATTTGTCATAATTCCAGTCCTCCTAGGGTGCCCCCAGGCCACGTTAGAGCCAATCTGACCTTAGTGCAGCCCTGGGGCAGGGCTCTAAGACCTATCATCCCTGAGACACATGGAAAGGGGGTTCCCCTCATTTTGCCTCTAAGAAAAAAGCTAATGTGACCCACACTTAAGCACTTACAAACCTGGGCCTTGGAACTCAACCCGAAGGCTCTTGAGACAGACAGTCTCAGTTCTGTTAATTATTCCAAGACCTTTCCCCCTTTTGTCCCAACTGTGTGACTGACCAGATCTTTTCTCTCTGCCTTGTGCTCTCCAACAGGCTTGCAGCCAATCTACTGGAGCAGAGATGACGTAGCCCAGTGGCTCAAGTGGGCAGAAAACGAGTTTTCCTTAAGGCCCATTGAGAGCAACACGTTCGAAATGAACGGCAAGGCGCTCCTGCTGCTGACCAAAGAGGATTTCCGCTACCGATCTCCTCATTCAGGTAAGAGTCTGGTTCTTGCATACCAGACTCAGCATGGAAAATATGGCCGGTGGTTGGTCTTTGCCATACTCATCTTGAGGCAGTAATCTCCACAGAAGATCTCATGGGAACAAACATAATGACAGCTTAAGAAAAAGAAGATCTACTGGCATTGGCCGGTGTGTGGGGAAGAGGAGGTTTCCAGATCAAAGAGACCCTTGGGTTAGAAGTAATTCACCTATAAGCAGACACAGAAACTTTAAGGGGTCTAGTGTCCCATCAAATAGTGAAGAAAAATTCCATTCTTCCTCTTTTATCTGCCTTACCCCTGATCCTAAAGACTTTAGAAGAGACGGCTAAGAGCACACATGCTGTGAACCACTCAGTTAAAAACACAGGAGACCTAGGCATGGTGGTGCACACCTGCAGTCCCACCATCCAGGGGGTTAAGGCAGGAGGGTCATGAATTCAAAGCCAGCCTGGGCTGCATTAAAAGATCCTCTATCTAAAATAACAACAGTCGAGTAAGAAAGGAAAGGGTTAGGCATTGCTGATACCTTGACAGAATCGTGTTATCCAGCCCTTGAGCTGTTAAATAGTGGCCCCATTAAATGGATCTGGGTGATTAAAATGCAGAGACATGTGTGATCACTGGACTCAGAAAGACCCAATTAATAAAGGAGAACAGACAAGTTTCACTTGGTGTTCCCTCTTATTTAGAGTTATTGCACACATAGCATTCAGGTAGAATAGATTTATGTGTCCGTTGTTTTATAGGAACAAAATCACTCAAGTCATTATCGACTTAGTTCATATTATGCTCTCTATCCCTGTTTAAAAATAAAAAGAAATTCACTCACTTTCAAGGTCCCTTTAATTCATTTAAAAAAAAATTGGCAAACCAGGCATCATGGTGTAGACCTGTAATCCTAGCACACAGAAGCCTGAGGCAGGGGGATCATGAGTAGGAGGCCAGCCTGAAATACATTTTGAGACCCTATCTCCAAGACTCGTGTGTGTGTGTGTGTGTGTGTGTGTGTGTGTGTGTGTGTGTGTGTGTGTGTGTGTGTTGGTCTTTTGGTGTGGCAGTGTGGCTTTGTAAATAATTTCTGCCCTTTCCAAACCACCAGTGTCCTTATCTTTAGAAATACACTTTGCTTACATTCTTCCAATACAGAAAAGTCCCATTTCAAAGTTGAACTGAAAGTGTTCATTATTATCTACATGCAATTCCTTGGACCAACCATCTAAATAGAAGGTGGCTCACTAGATTAAACAGCTATGTTTTAGATTTAAGTCAGAGAATCCTAGAATACAAATCACAGAGGGCAGTTGCCAGAAGTTGCAGGGCGGCTGCATGGCCTTGACTGAAGACACACGAAGTTGGCTCTTTCCTATCTTACTGTGTCTTTGAACGAGGAGTAAAAACTGTGCAGCACATGTCAGAGGGATGCTTAGGGAGGTCACTCATGGGAAGGTCATCTAAGATGTTAGCTGCCCAGCCCATGAATGAAGGTCGTGGTGGCAGCAGATGTGTGGTGCAATTGTTTGATGCTTTCTTTAATAAACCACATACACACTTACTAGTATTTCTGTTTTCTCACAAGTTTATTGCTTACCTTACTTTTTATTCTGCATTCAGCTGAAAGTAATTATCTTATAATATATGTTTTCTGATTTGTTCTTAAATACAGTATTTCTACAGACTGCCTCCCTTCTCTCAGGATCTCTGTCTTGAAGTCGTAAATAGGAAGCTAAAGGTCACTTACTTATTTTTCAGTAAAATAATATTCTTGTTTTATTATTTTAAAATTCAGATGGGGGAATCTTTTGACTTCATTTTCACCTTCCACCACATGGTACAGATATCAGCACAGATACGTGTGTGTGTTGGGAAGTGGGGAACACTTTAGAAGGTGGGGCCCAGTTGGATGAGGTAGATCACTGAAATACCTGAACTGAAATGGGTTACCTTTCCCCGTAGTAAATGAGAAGTTTGTAATTCAGTTTAGCGACCAAAATATACTAAATAGAATACTTAGGACCCAGAGCCAATCACATTCAAAACGCACACTGTCCCATCACAGTATTGGGCATTTGGGGGTCCCCTACCCCCCTGGCGTGTGACTGCACAGTTGTCACTGCGGAATTCACCGTGGAACTCCGAGGGTGAGCTGCAGGCTCCTCTCTTAACTCCTCCGCAGGCAGAAAGGACCCAGCCTCTCACACCAGGCATGCTTTTCCTTCCTTCATTTGCTCTATTTTGTAATTGGTCAAAAGGAAACCAAAATTTCTGAGTCAAAGGGAAATAGAAGAGAGAACTGTTTGCAAACTGGGGCGTGTGTTTCTTGAGATGATCATCTGCTTGTGAAGGTTGTGTGCAGAGCAAATCATCACCTGAAAAGTGCACACTTAATGATGTGAGGGTGCCACTGTCAGCCACTAACCCAGAGAAGTGAGAAGCTCAGGAGCCACGGGAGAGACTCTCAAGTAGCAGATGGCATTTAAGCAGTGGCCCTCCGGCCTCAGCCTTTTGAGCACCAGCAGCATATAATGAGAGCTTTAGAGCTAATCACAGCCTTTCACCGGCAATTCCATTCCTAAGAAAATATCCCAAGGAAATTATCCAGTAGTGGACAAAGAAAATGTCCTTAGCCAGTCTATTTATAACAGTATAAACTGGAAATACCCCAACCACCCCCAATATGAGACTAGCTGGGCAAACTCGGAAATGATCAATTTAACGGGATACTCCATAGCTCAACACCTAACTGTTCATTTCGTTTATTATTCCTTCATCACGTCATTCAGGGTCTTGCATATCCTATTCAGGATCTGAAGCAGAGGGTTGGCCAGGAACAGATGTGCTGTGTGAAGGTAGGGCAGTCTGACTGGAGTCTTGAAGCAATGGTAAATGGGGAAAGCAATTCTTGAGCCAAGGCGGGGCCAGCAGAGAGGGGGTGATCCCAAGAGTTCCCAGACTTGATGACTGATTCGATGTTAGATGAAAGAGGGCGATTAGGGGGCGATTGAAGGACTAACCCCAAATTTCTGACCTGATTGGATAACAGCATTTACTGAACTAGGGAACCCCTTCTGGTTTATAAAGATTTCTGTGTTGGACACATGGTCCATAAATCAAGAGATAAGTAAATGTGGTCCTGGTAGTCAGAAGGCATCGTGACCGGAACAGATCAGGCCAAAGACAAGCGGAGCGCAGTCGTGGGGACAGATGCAGTTGTCCGCGAGGAGCTGGTGAGGGTGCTGGGAAACCCACTATTGAGGGCTGGAGGAAGAAGAGCTGGGAGGTGGGAGGAAAGCCAGAGCAGCCATCTTGGCAGGCAGGAAGCATCCTAGGAGGGGGCAGGTGAAGATTCCTGGCAGTGAGTGCTGCCAAGGTGGGGCTCTTCCCAAGTACCACAACTGCCCTTTGATTTAACACCAGAGAGGTGACCTCAGCTAGAGCAGTTTGGGGAAGGCTTCGCTTGGAGGAAGCCAGCGTGAAGAAGTAGAGATAACAGAAGTGACAGCTCCTGGGGAGGGTTGACTGCCAGGAGAGGAAGGGAAGAGAAGAGCCACAGGAGGAGGAAGGGATTCGGGGAACCTTGAAACCGCCTGTGTACTAATGGACAGAAACCCGCAGATTTTGAGATGATTCTGCATGGAGGGGAGGGTTTTAGAGAGGCCTGACTATGAACTAGAAATTTCTGTATGGAATTATGACAACAGAAGGAAAAAGAAACTTCCACACACAAAAGTAACATAATGAAACTTATGTATGTGCTTGAATGCAGAAGTATTGAAGCTGAGAGACTGTGACATGTCAGCTCATGAAAGCCACGCCCACAAGAGATGCCGTCTAGTGAATGTGTATTCCATGAGACCAATGTTTCGTACCTGTCTCCTTTATCTTGCCAGGTCTGTGGCGTTATTCTCATCTTGCACAAAAGCACAGGCAAGTTTAGCTAAGCCGTAAACTAAGAATCAGAGAGAGGAAATAATTTGCCTGAGGACAGGTAGCTGACGACAGGGACCAGGCTTCAGACTTGGATTGACCTCCCTAGAGCCCAAATTCTGTTCCCTAAAAGAAAAGTAATTTTCAGCAGCTGCCTCCCTTCTCTGAGCTCTTGATCTTCAAACACTGACAAGACTAACGGGCAACTTGCCTTGTGTTTTCTACTTTGTCTTCTGTTTGTTTTAAACAGCCACCCCATCCCCCACTAAGGATTGGACCTAGAGCCTCACATGCTAAGCTCCAACCTTATTTACCTTTGTCCCACTTCCATACACCCTGTCCATCCCCACCCCCACCCCGCTTGCTTCCTTTTTTGACAGAGTCCTGCGGAGTTAACCAGGCAGATCTTGAATTTGCAATCCTCCACCTCAGCCTTCTGAGTAGTCAGGATTACCAGGCCTAGCTTCTGAAAGAAATTTCAGTCAGAGAGTAACATGTGGAGCTGAAGAGCTGGCTCAGTGGATGTTGTGTAAGCACGAGAGTCTGAATTCAAATCCTCAGCACTCACATAAAAAGTTGGGTATGGTTGTGTACGTCTGAGAGTCCAGCCCTGAGAGAGTGGCAGGCTTGTCCTGAGAATTCGCCGGCCACCTGACCTAGTCAAAATGGTGGATTTCCAGTTCACTGAGAGACCCTGGCCAAGACAGCAAGGCAGAGATGATGGAGGAAGACACCAAAGTCCCTTCTGGCTTCTTACGCAGTCAGGTGCATGCACCCCAGCACCGCTCCCCTCCACCCTCCCTCACACACACACACCAAGAAGGAAAAAAAGTAGAATTTAGATTTCAGAATATACCAAAAAAAAAAAAGCCGGGCAGTGGTGGCTCATGCCTTTAATCCCAGCACTCGGGAGGCAGAGCCAGGCGGATCTCTGTGAGTTCGAGGCCAGCCTGGGCTACCAAGTGAGTCCCAGGAAAGGCGCAAAGCTACACAGAGAAACCCTGTCTCGAAAAACCAAAAAAAAAAAAGATTTCAGAATAGGTTGCCTGGCTTTCAGAATGCATGT